CTAGACACATTCAAAGAAATACAAGAGCATTTGAAGCTACTCAGCCAAAGCATGATTAATATAGGCTATGCACTGTAAACACTAACTGGGGATATATAGTTCTGTGGCACCTTAAAAACTAACAAAGATATATGGGATCATGAGGCTGTTATATAGAATTTGGATGCTGTTATTTCCATCCCAAGTCCTCTAATGAAATGGATCCTCTCCAAGAAAGTTTGCAATACTCCATATTTTTTTAAGTCTTTAAGGTGCCACGGGATGACTCGCTGTTAATCTGTAACTTTAAAATAACCAGTCATCCTGTGGCATCATAGATGTAGGCCCTGACCTTGCAATGGGATCCATGCAGGCAGATTCTTACAGCAGCATGCAGCCCAGCTGAATGCTAGGGCTGCAAGTTCCTCCTATGTGAATCCTGTTGCAAAAGTAAGGCCTAAGTAAATGCAGAGCATGTTTCCCTTGTCTGAAATTAATAAAATGAAACCATTTCTCCAGACCCAGGTGAAGTCAGGATGTTTCCCTCTTCCCAGGTACCAAAAATGATAGGGCATAGATGCCAACTCCTCCTATTTTCCCACCAGTATTTAATCTAGTATTTCGACACTCCCATCCGGAAACATCTCCCAGGATAGTTAATCTCAATACACTGAAAACATGGGAGGCAGGGTTGTTTTAATGCCCTACTTACAACATTTTCAAATGTTGCCAGGTATAATTGGGGTGTTCACCCCTCCATACAATAGATTCTAACTCCCCATTTCTCTCTTTAAGATTATCAAGCAAGGGGAGAAGAAGGGATTGCATGGCACTTGAGGTAGAGAAGGAAGGCTTCTTGCCACTGTCTTATTTGGTATACAGAAGCATAACTTTTGCAAAAGTGTGTAGCAGCTCCTTTCTTCCACCTTTCCAGGTGGAAATCCTTTCCAGGGATTTTAAATCTCCTCTGCTCAAAGAATCTTTCTCCGGGGGAAGGGGAAATAATTACAAAATCCAGGATTGATACTAAACCTTCTTTCAAAATGATAGTGTCTCTCTCCTGTAGCTGCCTGTCACAGAGAAAACACACCTTTTCCTTCCTTCCCCTCACCCTTCAAAGAAGCCACTGTCTTCTCTCCAGCCTGATCCAGAGTCTGGATTTCTGAAGCATCCACATATTCTTGGCAGTTACTGCTGTTAGGCCTCCACTAGCTAGCTGAAGCTAATGTAAAGACTCAGGTGTGACAACAACAGAGTGGAGGTAGTGGGAGTCCCAGCTGCCTGACAAGCTACCAACAGATGGGCAGACTAAGACAACTAAGCAAAAAAAAAAAAAAAAAAAAAGGCACAGAGAGAGAAGCCATTGGATGGAAGATTCTGAGCTAAAATTGTCTGGAGAGGCACTTTAGATACCCAATAGCTGTCTCTGACGCTTTACAGCAGGGGTGGGGAGCCTCTGAAGATGGGGTTTGTTAGGGTTAGTCACTGGCGGACCTTCAAAATGATGCTTTGTTTACCTGAGCGATTGCAGACATAGTGGCCACAATTTGCCATTCCCGGCCTATGGAAGGCTGTGGGAAACTTGCAGTCAGAATCAGAGCCCCATCGTGCTGGCTGCTGGACAAACACATAAGACGACATGATCCTGCACCAAAGATCTTACAAACAAGTGAGAGGACAATCACCTGATGTATTTTCAATGGTTAGAAGCAAAGTCTGACCCTTTAGAGCCACCTAACTAGCCCAACTTTTGGCCTCTTCCAAAATAAGGATGAACTCAACTGGGATAAAATTCAGAACTGAGGCCTCTGTTTATGTTCTTGTATGTGTCTCCTGATCAGAGCCAAGAAAATGGTTTAAAAAAATAAAGTTTCCACAGTCTGAAATGCCACTACTTGTGAACTTTTTTCAGTTGTTCCAGTTGGTTTTATTTATGTAGCGCCCCAAGCATCTAATTTCAGAACTATAATTTGTGGCTTTCTGACTCCAGGATCATTCTGAAGGAGTTCTCATGTAGCAATTCTGCTAGCTAAATATTTACACACATACACTGTGCATAACATTTACTTATGTTTATGGGCAAGAACTCAGCATATTTCACATAATTTTTCAGGCTCTACATGTGTTTCAGATCATGACAACATATTGAAAATATGTGCCTACAAAACACATCTTAAATGTATTTATTCAAAACATTACCTGCTTGTCCTCGATGTGTTTTCTACATATAGAAAGCTAAAGATTAGATTTCCTGTTCTCTCTCATGATCTTTTCTCATTATTAACAACTTCTATCTAGTTCCAGGCCTTCATTAGCGATCAATTGTGCATTATTTTATCAGTTTATACATTCAAAACTTAAATGAGAATACACACAACATCCCCCAAACACCCAACTTATATAAAAAGAAATCCAGAAGAAACAAGTGACATTTACTAATTTTACAGAAATATGTGCTTTGCTTTATATCATAAGGTCATATCTGTGAAGAAGCCCGTTCTGAAAAGTCCTTAATTCACAGCTGGACTTAGATCATTTTTTCAAAACTGTTCATAAAACAGTTTGGCTTTGTCCACATGTAGTGGAACAAATGGTGTAGGAACCTGATCCAGTCACAGTTCAGCTCTACAATATTTTAAAATGTAATTGCTCAGGCTGTGGCTTTTATTGTATGGACAGAGCCATAGAGCCACAATAAATGCACTGAAATCACCTCCTCACCATAAGATCCAAGGTCTTTGTTCTCAGTAATTCTTAGGCCATTCTGCAATAAAGTTACACAAATGCTGAGTAGACACATTGATTTTAAATTAGAAGACTCCTCCACCTATAGTCCCACTACCATAACCTGCAAGCACATTAGAAACCTTAATAGTATTTATCCTCACAATACCCCATGAGGTAGGGAAGTATTGTAATCCACATTTTACAGACAGCCAGACCGCATAAGGACTCTAATGCCCAGCAAAGCCCATACTGGGGGCCTCAAGCAGAAATATTTTGCCCTCCCCCCCGCCCCAGACAAACACATACCCTCTAAAACAGAAAATTTCTTATAATTAAAAGCAAAAAGAGGGGGGGCCTTGAGCAGCTTAGGGTTCTAAGCAATTGTTTAGTCTGCTTATAACTAGTACTGGTTCTGGTGCATAAACCCTAAATTTAAGTCCCTTGTCCCAAATGTTGGCACATCTGTAATCCACACAACCCTTGTTCTACTGCTGCCTAACCCTGTAATTGGCTTTACTCACTGGCCACCTACATTTCTGCTCTAAAGGTTCCTTAGGAGTAGACACTAATCTTTCTGACATTGGAATGCACACAACTGCCTCACTGTGGACATCTCCAGTCTAAACCCTGTTCCAATCTCTTCTCATCACACAGAGAGGGAATTTAATTGGGGGGTCTCCCACCTGCCAGGTAGGTGTGCTAGCCACTGGGTTAATGGTTATTACAAACATTCTTCTCCTCCTCCCAACATCTCAGAACATGTCTACTGGATCAGGCCTTGCAGGCAAGATAGCTGCTCTTTGGGATGAATTGTCAAAGCCTCTTAAGTGTTTATTTCAACCTTTAGTACCTGATGTATAAAGAGGATGAAAGCCTTAATGCTGTGGGCAATTGGGCCCAGAGAGTAATATTATATGTCATTCACTTTCAAAAGAGCATACAGCCATCTCTTGGCAATGTCATGAAAAATAACGTTTCAACAAATAGCACAGAACAGAATGACAAAATAGTGCTGCCCAAAATGGGTGGGAAAGGAGTCCCTTTTGCATAGCCCTGTTCAAATTACAGAATAAAGAAAAATTTGAAAAGGTGCACACAAACAATATTTATTATTTGTTAACCACCATCAGTAAAATTGCTCATGTGACAGCTAACAGCAAAACCTGCTGCCAATGAATCTAAAACTGAGTTGGGTCTATAACAAACTCATAGCCATCATGGATCAGGTGCACATGAGCACCTTTAACAATACACACTAATGGATTACTTTCTCAACTTAAAATATAGAGGCAGACTTGGTCCCTGTGCATAGAAGTGAACATTCTAAATGAGACAGTGTACATAGTTCAGACACCCAGTGCCCTAGATGCTGATCAATGAAAAGCAATGCCGATACCCTTGCCCTAGGTATTTCATGAGACCAGTTACACACACACACACACACACACAAAATAGTAGACAAAATATGCTAGGCTACTCCAGTCATTGGCTAATCTTGGCCCATGCAGAACAGCAGAGGTGGCTTCAAGTCACATTTACACCTTTCTTATTCTGGGCTTTTCCCTGAGGAGTCTTCTACAGACCAGAACTGCCACAGCATCCACCTCCCAATCCCAGCATCGGAGGATAGAGTATAGCCGTGTGCACCAACTGAGAGAATTCCCCAGGTGGCTACTGAAGCCCCCTTCATGCCCCTGAATCACTGTAAAGGAATCAGAGCCTGCATCAGAATACAGCCCACTGTGTTCCCTCCTCCTAAGATGGGCTTAGTGGACAGTCAAAGTAAATTCTGAAGGGAAGAAGAGGTGCTCCTGGAGGTGAGAGGGAGGAAGGAGCAAGTAGGAGAGAGGCACTGCCATGCCAGGGCAATGCATGAGTACGCTTTGAAGGCATGCACCATTCTGTGGGTCTCTTAGCACTAATGCCCCTCCCCTTTGTTTTAGTCTCCTAGAACCAACCAAGGGTGAGGGGCTGAGGTTGGGGCTTAAACAAAGCAGTAGGAGGCAACATGAGATCACCAGCCAGGAAGGGCAGAAATGTGGGGATTTTATTTCCAAAATACTGGTCAGGCTTTTCTGACTCTCCCACCAGGTTTCAGGTTTGGGGTAGAAGTTCAGGTCAGTCCTTGTTTTATCCAAATAGGTTTGCCCATCCCTACTTGAGATATGAATTCATTCAAAAATAGAGAGCCAAAATCTTTGCTGATAAAAATGAACACCAATCCACAGAACTGAACTCCATTTTCACCAGCAGAAAAATTTCTATAACATTGCAGCTAATCCAGAATTCCTTACCTTATCCAAGTGGACAGAGAGAGGCTGAGCCAAAGGATAAGTGTGTCTATACAACCAAAGGAGGCAAAATAAAACACATTTTAAGTAGTGCAAGTGGCGCCTTGTAGTCTACAATCTGCCAAGTTAAGCAAACAAGAAGAAAAGAAAAAATCCACCTTGTAAATAAAGTGATTACAAATCTAGCGTCTAAATTCTGGCTTGAGGCCAGGATCCAAGTGTTAAGGACTGAAAGAAAAATCTGTTGTAAATTCCTTCAAGTGAAAGTCTGTGTTTGAAAAGCACAAGACACCAGTTTCAGAAAGGTTGTGAAGTCATAACAGTATTTCCAAAGCAGAACACCCCAACACAAGCTGCTATGACAAAGAACAAATTAGACACATTTAACATGACCTCCTTCCTATTGTACAAGCCAGTTTTAAATTGCTGTGATGAATCTTCAACTTCTTTGCCTACGTAACCAGTGCTTGGCATGAACACAGCTTTTTCCATCATAAAAGCACGTTACAAGTTATTCACACTTAAAATGTCCTATCTGAAAACCCAAAAGCGTATCTTAATTTTGGAAGAAATTGTTCTTATAGGTGAATGTGCATTAACACACAAAACTGCCTTCCAAACTAAATAGCCCCTTTATCAGCCCTGTGCACTTAGAGCCTGCCTAATGAGTGATGGTGACAAGTCTGAAGGGGCAAAGTGTTACTTTGTGGAAAGAATGCAGGAATGGAGGACACTGCTAAATGTTGCTCAGTTATTTCCCTGGTTCTTAAGAGGAAGGGTGGACTAAGTCTGCTAATTAGTAGAGTGTGAATATGATAGATCCTGGGTTCAAGGCATGCCTCAAACCACTATTGCTGCAAAGAACCTTGAAACATGTCTGTTTTACTCAAATGAAGCAAAGTTCCAGGCCTATGATGTCCGTGAGGTGCTTTTGCCACCTGATAAAAGGCTTCTTCCATGTGCTGCTCATGTATTTCTTTTGAGCTGTCTAAGGCCTGCTTTGCCAGTGTATTTGGGTTTCTCTGTGCTGCTCTATTTGAATGAAGCTGCCCTAAGTATATTGACTCTGGTCACAGAGGACTGGATTCATCCTGCACAGAGCCACCATAGGAGCACCCTTACAACTCACATCCTTTTGAGACACTGGCAGCCAACTAGGATGGTTGTAAAGCCACCTTTGCATGCACACCCCTGAGCTGAACTGAGAGTCTCTCAGTCGCTTGTCAGGATCTTGGTGAATATGTTTTCTCCTCCTGGGACACCAAATGGGCTCATTCTTTCCCCTTAACAACCAAAAGGGCTAGAATCAATTCATTTTAAGTGACAGATTTCAATCTGTGAAAAGTGACAGGGTGTCTAGAGAAATGCAAGGCTAGTATTCTAGCTTCCTTCAAGCTCTGGCTTGTTGTCGCCCTTTTAGAAAAATGACAATCAAAATGGGGTGGGCAAAAGAAATGTTCCCTTATCAGATCACTTCTGTCTTGAGGATAATCCTGGTACCTACAGTGTATGAACAGAAGATTTCAAAGGCCAGTGTAATAACATGTGGGAGGAGGAGTTTAGTGTTGTTGGGGGGGGTTAGCCAAGTAAAGCCACGTTTTGGCACCGTCAATCTTTCTTCACTCAAAGAGAGATCTAATCCCTAATGCCTCCCCTTTCTGTGCAAACAACTGAAATAGCTCGTAAGGAAAAATACCAATCACTTTTCTCAGCTACAGTCACTTCTCGAGCAATATTTCTGCCCGTAGGAAATGAGGGTTTTAGTCCAGCAAGCTGTCAAATTACAAAAATGAGTCATTTGAAGATGCCTGTTTTTCACAGTAAACTGATGCCTCTCACAAGGCATTATTCCATCTCCTTTATTGCCAATCTAATAACCTATAGAAGTTACAGTGACCTGATAACTTTTCCAGCATCCTTCATTTTGTGGAGCCTAAACTGCTTTATTAACTTCACTAAAAGATTGTGCACATGATGGACGTACTCAACCCCATGTGCGAATAACCCAGAGAGGAGCAGAAACTCCTCACATATCAGTTTACACAGGATGTTATTTTTTCTCCTCCCCACATCCCTTCTGTGGGTTTTGGTCTTACAGATGTGTGTGTGGAAATACAGTCAATTGGCTGGACATGCAGGCTGCTTTCTGAGGGCTCCCCTTCTACTGACCTGTTTCAACAGGAGACCCAATCAATTCAGAGTGGGAATATTAATCATCCAGACTATTTGACATCTACTCAAGACAAGTGAATACCCAACTGACATGTTTCTGCTGGCTTAGGAAAATCAGCATCTAAGCTAGAGAACAAAATCTCCAAATGGTCTTCCTCTATCTATGGGGTTCCCCATTCTGATGCAAAGCATTTGCTTCCGCCCGTTTAGCCTGTTGAACTCCTGCTATTATTTATTATTATTGAGCCTAGATGCCAATTTAGACCAGAGCCCCAATGCTGTACAAACACAGAATAGGAGACAGTCTCTGCATCCAAGAATTTACAATCTAAATAGATTGGACAGACACAGGGTCAACGCTTGAATATGGCCCAAAAGCCACGTGAGCATTTGCAAATGGTATTTATGTTCAGTGGTTTCTTCAAGCCTAATTCCCTTACTTTCCAAAATGTACAGTGGGAGCATGCAGCCAGTGCTGCTGTCACAAACCAAACCGCTTGTGTCCAATACTGAGAGAACAGGAATGTCAAAACTGTATAAAGTGGTGGCGTTCCATACTGATGTTTACCTGGAACAGCTGTTTGGTAGAAAGCCATTAGATTTATAATAAATGCTAGGAAAGGGATGAGGTCCTGGGTTATGATCTGTACATCTTGTACCATTCCAGTGATACAACCTACAGTCATATCTCACTATGTGAGGATTCCCCCATCATGGTACAGTCCAGTGTCCCCTATAAGCTGGGCGCTTATGCAACTGCTCAGGAGAGATTCAAATCCTGCCCAGCTGATTAGCAGAGTGCCTAAAAACAGGCAAAAAACAGGACTATGTAGCACTTTAAAGACTAACAAGATGGTTTATTAGGTGATGAGCTTTCGTGGGCCAGACCCACTTCCTCAGATCAAATAGTGGAAGAAAATTGTCACAACCATATATACCAAAGGATACAATTTTAAAAAAAGAACACACATGATGTGTTTTTAATTGTATCCTTTGGTATATATGGTTGTGACAATTTTCTTCCACTATTTGATCTGAGGAAGTGGGTCTGGCCCATGAAAGCTCATCATCTAATAAACCATCTTGTTAGTCTTTAAAGTGCTACATAGTCCTGTTTTTTGTTTCGGCTACACCAGACTAACACGGCTACATTTCTATTACTATAAACACAGGCAGGTTTTGTGTTGCTACTAGTAATACACATTTGCACATGCCTCCGTACACATAAACATTTATTCTGCATATGGATAGAAAAAAAATCGGCACATGAAAAAGATTAGAGGGAACATTAGTACAGTCCTTTTGATCCAATTGTATGTCATCCCCTCCCCCTGTACCACTTAACAGAAGGGACATGTTGTGGGGGGCGTGCTGCATTCCCACACTTCCTGGCTAGCGGATGGCACTTAGGGGCTACAACCTTCTGGCTGACCTTAGAGCAGTGATTCTTAAATGTTTTGTATTGGTGACTCCTTTCACACAGCAAGCCTCTGAATGCAACACCCCCTCCCCCCGCTTTCTAAATTAAAAATGGGGGGGGAGGGTGAGTCGGTTTAAATTGTAATTTGAATTTATTCAACTGGGACTGTCAGCCCTGTGCCTGACAATGGCTCTCCGTGATCCTCGGGCAATAACCTCGCCCCTTCCCCTAATCTGAGAACCTCTGCTTTAGAGCAATTTCTATGCTACCCTAAAGTGGACCAGGCTCAGCACAGAACACAGTAAGTTCAAGGAGGCACAGTCTGAGTGAGGCAGAGGCTCTAGGCCAAGGAATGCAGTTAGGTGATCCTAGTTTAACAAAAACAAGGCTGAGAAATGTGTCAATTTCAAATGACGGCTGCTTCGAGCAGCTCAGAACTGTACCAAACACATCTTCACTTGCCTGGATTTTTTTTTTTTTTTTTTTTACACTGTATCAGAACCAGAGCGCACACCCACTGATTCTAGCTAGTCTGCATTTTAAGCCAGAGCGTGGCACTTTTTCTTTTGACTCTCTGCCCTCTTACTGTCTTTTGATTCTCGTTGGGTGACTAAAGGGGAGGAGCTGCATGCAGAAGAAACTAGCAGTCCAATAGAGCATGCCTTATTCAGACCTCTCCGATTATGCAGTTTTTCCAGACAACCTCTGCAGAAAATGCACAAATGGTACATTGTGCCTGTCTGAATCAAGTCCACAGTTATTAGTCCAAGTACACATCACCACAATTTCTATTTGAGAAACAGAGGACAGCATGCTTAACTATTTGGAGAGAAGCATATCCAGATGAATGGCTGACAACAGCTACAGTTCTTGCTATTCATTGGTTTTAATCACCTTTTCCCTGATTTACTCCTTCATTGGAATACATATGTAGGGTATTGGACTTATTTAATAGAAATCTGTTTTAAAGCATGCATAGGAAAATAAAAATGTATAAGAACGGATTAGTTGAGGACTCACCATTTTTAAAGCCATCGGACCATACTGGTTGTAGAAAAACCAAACAAACCAAGCTGTTTCTCTCTCAGGAGACAAAAAAGACTTGTACTTACCAAGCAGCAAGCTGAGAAGCAGCACTCTTCTGAAAGCGCTCTCACCCTCTCTGTAGCTGCATTTTAAAAGTTAAATGTTTGAAGTCAGAAAAAGTTAATATTATAGCCTGTTAGAACTGAATTAAGTCAAAAGATTTCCAGGCAGTGGGGAACTACTAATACAAATTTGCAGAATGTTAACTCTCAATAAACATGAGGAAATGCCTGTATCACTTCTCTAGTTGCAGTCCATCCTTTTGTTGAAACCTTCAGTTTAAATATTCTGCACCTCAGGTCCCTAGTCTCCTCTCATGCATGCCAGTGGAAACCAGAAGCAACTTCATTAAACCCAATGGAGCTGGCATAAAAGCATTATGAAAGACGACTCAGGCCCAGTGAGTTCTGAGAAAGCACTTGATGCCTGACT